AAGTTAAGGTAAATGAATGATGGTAATTATTTAGCGTACCGAGAACGATAAGCGTGCAACTGCTAAAAGATTCTCCAGCGTCATTGAAAGCTTCGCACGTGTAAATTCCAGAATCTTCTGGAAATATTTCGTTTATTTTAAGCTTGTAAATGTTGGCTTCGTGCGCGTATTCGAAATCCTTGCTCGGTTTTATTTCTTTGTTATTGTGAAGCCAAACGACGTCGAATTTTTCCGAACCGATTATACGACACTGAAGCACGACGGGATCCCCATCTTTAACGTATTGCGATACCAAATGATCGACAATTTTCGGGGGTTTGTCACTTCCTTTTTGCTGACTGCTTGCTACAGGTACAGCTGTCAATTTATAAAACAAAAAAAAAAAAAAAATGTCATCACCTCTTTCTTTTATTACAAAACAAAAAACCAAAAATTCCCTTTGTCTTCTTCCTTACATTTAACGGTAAGTTTACATTTGGTTTGTGCTACTCCCAACGAATTGGTAGCTTTACATACATATTCTCCTTCATCTTCCGGATAAACTTCTTTTATCGACAGAGTTGCTATTTTGTTTTTATATTTAAGATCGATTACGTCTGAAGAATTCAAAATCTGAACGCATTTAAAAAAAAAAAAAAACAATTAATTTAATTGTCGGGAATAATTTAATAATAATAATAATAATAATAATAATAATAATAATAATAATAATAATAATAATAATAATATCGATAATAAATAATTTAAATTAAAAAATTACTTGTCCATCTTTTGTCCATTCGCATTGAGGATCGGGATCACCTTCAATCGTGCAACTTAATGTTAACATGTCTCCATCGTTGACAGTCAAATCATTCAAAGATTTTATGAATTTTGGAGCGCACATCAAAGAGTCATCCGGTGGTAAAATGAGTTCTTTGGTTGTGTTACGAGATCTCGATGGACTACTTGTCGAATCCAATTTGGCACCGTATTTTTTCAATGGTTTCTTACCGGAAAGACCATCCGTGACGGCTTTGCTGAGTGACGTCTAAAATATTAATAAAATATTTATCGATGCGATTTTAAAAAACAATTTTCCCACAGATAAAAAAAAAAAAAAATTTTCACCTCGAATGAAGATGCGGGGGTGGTTGGCGTGGTGGTCGTTGACGGTTTTGATTTTGTCGGCGCATCATAGGTAGAACTTGGTTTTGTCGTTTGAGAAGTTGGCGTGTAAGAAGGTTTGCTATAACTACCTCTTTTCATTTTAGGTACTGGTATCGAAACGTTTTCCAGAGTGTGATCTATTTAGCGAAAAGAGAAAAATACAATCATATTTTTGAAACAGATCGAATTAATGAGGGATAATAAAAGGAACGTACCTTCAACAATGA